CGCATTTCGCTAAACTAAGTTTGCTAAGAGCAGTTAATTAGATTGCAAACATATGTAACATTCAGAAGAGTTGAATACATGCAAATTAAGTGGAATAGTAAATTGCACTTTAAATAGGCCTCGTTTTGGTGGGGTGGCTCAGTGTAAACAAACGATGGGGCGAAGCGGTTGGGTGGGGGGTGGTCTCTCTCTCAAAGCGTGCAGCGCATGGAGGAAGGTTTTGATGGAAACTGTAGTTGGAAACACTGTTCACAATGAAGAAGGGCGGGTTGGCCAGCGGTCTCCAAGGTGTTTTCAAGTGTTGTTACTATTGTACAATATCCGTGTGCACTGGTTGCAGTTCGAATGATTTTCCTGTTGTAACCTTGGATTGGAATCGGAAACCGGACACAGTGCTGACTGATCTGAGTGGCTTTGGTCATTTGTGCTGGCCTGTGGAAAAAATTTTGGCATGATACTGGTCGAGCATGATTTTGACCCGATATATTGCTCGAAAATGCAATTTGACAACGAATTGCGTGGAAATGGAAATATGAATGTCGGAAAAGCGTAATGTGGTATCTCCTGGGTGTGTTCGGTGTGATCTGCATGCGTCCCATTCGATGTGTTAAATGCTGGTGGCGTCCTGAGCGCACTGCTTGGTTATGAAAGAGAGGACGAGTCATTGCACAAACAGTCTGTGATTTGGATGAACGAATGCTTTTATGCAAATGAAATTTGCTACTGCGATGAAATATTTCGGAAGAGTCTTTGTGTAGAGTGGCTTAGGATCATCTGCTTTAAAAGAAAGTTGAACTGACTTATTCTCCCAATAGAAAGGACGAGTAGAACAATTCAGCAGCAGCGTAGTAAAGAAATGTATTGTCAAACTGAGGAACACCGAGAAATCATTTTCCATCCTCATGTGGCTGAACCTTAAGAGATTTGTGCAGTCACTTATTTCGGAACAATGTCCAGTCAGTTATCACGGCATCCTGAAAAATCTACTGACAGCATATTCTAAGACTCAAGTGTGTTCACTAATTGAGTGTGTATGGAAAAAATACATCGTCAACTGCAAGAAAGGATATCTTATTGTTTGCAAAGACCGAGCTCATCGAGTATTTCAATATTTTGCAGTGACCACTTATCTCGATTATTCTGGCCACTGACATTCACTTTGCGCATTTTGACAGAGCTGTTATGCTTTTTGTGTCTTGTTTTGCTTCTTTCATAAAATGTGTGAATATAAAAGTATCCACAACAAATATACAGAGCAAGCCGAGTTCTGGCCGTGTAATCCCACGTAAGGCAGCATTTCCCGATAATTAGCTTCACTCAGGAAAAAAAAAATTGCCAGTTGCCACGCTTGGATGTTACAACTCCCTCCTCTTTTTTTAAGGGAAGTACGGACTTATGTGTTTTGAAAATACTTAAGGGCATAACTCATCGGTAGCTAGACTTATGTTTGAACTGAAACTATTTGTGATACAGAAACGTTGGCTGCAGATTCCTCGATGGCAAGTTCAGCAACACATCAATCCATTCAGATTGGTGCCACTTGCTGCCAGTCTACGAAGCTTCAGTCGAAAAACTGGTAAATTAGGGAGGGCGGTAAAATAAAGGACTTGTTAAGATCTCACAGCTCGAATCAGTGTAAAACCAAGGCATAAGTGATCATTATTTCGAAACCCCGCAAATATGAAAAAAAGCCCCGCAAATATGCATTCAGTTTCAGTTACGGAATATCGATTCCTTCGTAAAAATCTTACTACTCATCTTCATCTCTTTCGGTATATCAATGACATCCTTACTGTTAACTGCGCAAACTTTTCTGAAATCGCCAGCAATATCTATGGACCCAGCTTGCGACTCAATAGGCGTCAACATTAGTGACTCGACAAACGGAAAATCCCTGATCAGCGAAAAAGGCCGCACTAGAAGAGTTAAATTTTAGTCATACAGGAGTAGGGGACATTCCCTCCCGAGTTAGCAGTTTTCCCACCAAAATTCCCACGTGTCCGTACATGATTACCGGACGGTTTTAAGGAGCTGAATTTAAAATCTTTTGGTCATACACGAGTAGGGAACATTCTCCTACAGTTTCAGCCTTCTA